CGAAAGAAACGTTGCAAAAGGCATCTTTTGCAACCTTTTTTTGAACGTTGCAAAAAGTAGTCTTTTCGCAACATTTTCTAAATGTTTCAAAAAGTCTACCCTTTGGCAACGTTTAGAAAACGATGCAAAAGGTACCTTTCGCAACGTTTATTTTAAAAATATTCTCAAAACTCAATTACATTAACTATTTATAACATTCACTTATTAAAATATTGCAATAGACCTCTTTAGAAACATTTAACCACCGAATGTTGTCTTTTATGTGTTGCAAATGATCATTTCTGGTGTAGTGGATGAGTCCGGAAATAATGATCAATGATTGGAGGATAGAGAAGAAAATGTGCAGGTATTGACTGAGAGAGAGAGAGAGTTTGAGAAATTAAAAAATATATAAAAACAGAAATAAAAATTTGAAGGTTTTAGGATAGATAAGTTGACTTTTCAAATTGGGATTTAGGATGGAATTTAGGTTATTTTCTAAGGCTATTTTAATCCAAATTTTGTAAATTATAATCACTTAATCCAAAGCTAGAAAACAATGCCATATTTAAAAATGTACAACGTTTTTTTGAACGTTGCAAAAAGGTACATTTTCTCGCATCTTTGTCCTAGATGGTTCTGGAATATGAAAAGAGATCAAATGAGGCACTTCTTTAGCCATAACTTCACAATGTCTTGTATCGTGGACTTTAAGTTTGGCCCCTTAAGTTTTACGCCTCAAGACAACGTTATTCTCAATCTTAGTCTGACAAGTCCTAACAACTAATACACATGCATACTTATGAGTAGGATGTTAAACAATACATACATATGATCATACCATTAGTGCAAAAAATAGATCATACGTTTAATATTGTTGACGTTATTGTTGTGTCGTATGGAGAGAACATTTTTGGTGTGTGACACCTTATCTTGCTTTGGTAATCGTCCATATTTGAAAAAGATATTTTAAAAATGAATTTTGCGAAAATTAATTTTTTGAAGAATGTGTTATTAATAACATAAAAAAAATAAAAAAGGTTAAACCCCAACCTTGAGAGTCTCCACCGCCCCATCTCTGAAGTATCGTGAGGGAGATAAATCGCGAGATGTGCTCCAACAGATTAGGGAACAAGAGTTTGTCCGTACACTGATACCTACAAAGAGTCCAATTTCATATCTTGGGGATCGAACATTCACATTGTGGCTGCGAGTAAGGCTGAAACTACCTCACTCTTATCTTTTGCATCACTGGATTATGTCGAGAGACTAGAATGTGCTATTAAACTCCCATTTGACCCTCATTCTCATTCCTTTTCTCTCTCTTATTTTCAATCACACAATCTTACATAAAATAATATTACACACAAATCAAAATTTTTTTATTCTTTTTCAACCACACATTTTTAAAAAAAACACTATTTCAACTATTAAAATTTGAAAAGAATGGGGCCCAAATGAGGGCTAATAGAATTTACGTCCAAAGGTCTATTTACAGGTTTAGTGCTTGTTTGAGCCCCATTTTTCGGAGAAGAATGAATTTTTGAATAGTGTATTGATGGAAATGTGTGATTAAAAAATAAAGAAAAATTTTGAATTTGCGTGTAATATTATTTTATTGAATAATGTGTGATTGACATGATGTCAAAATATTGTTGAAAAATAAATTTTTCCAAAAGAATGGGGCTCAAACAAGGGCTTAGCTCCCTTTTGATCCCTATCTTTACCCAAAATTGTATTTTTCCCATCACATCAATGTAAGACCTACACATTATTCTATGTTTTGATTTGAATTCAAAAGGCATAAAATTCCAATTTCACCCATGGTATCTCGGCTGAGTGGTTTTGGGATGGAAAGTCAGTGGGCAAGGGCAAGGGGAAATGTTGGAAAAGAAGAAGTCTTGGTCTTTGAGTAAAATCATGTGGGCTGGGAGGCAAATAATGAGCAATGGTCCAAAAATTCATTATTGTGATAAATTAATTAGGACCAAACAGCCCTTTAGACTTTTCCTTAGTGATGGTTCGAGTCAAGTTTAGCGGAAGAAAATTAAGAAATTGTTGAACAAATCCCCTCCCTATAAATGCCTATTTTGCTGACTTAATAGCTAGAGATGTACTACTTCCACTGTTTGCATAGTCCACAGTCTTATCTGACTGTTGACAAGAAAATAAAAACTTCAAAAATTGTTGTTACATATATCCAAATTCTGTCATATTATTGTCACACTGTCCAAATTTTCACTATTTTGCTCAAACTCGTTGTTACGTTTAGAGCTTTTCTAGGACAAATTTGTTAGAGAGAAAAATATTTTTTTTGAAAAATATGTAATTAAGAAGTAAAAGAATTTTTTTTTTTTTTTTATGAATTTTGTAAAATGTTTGATTGTAAAACCGTTTGTAGAAAATTTATGTTTTAAAAATTCTCTTCAAAATAATCTCTTAATGAATTGTTACGGTCAAGTTTTATCTTCTTGTCACTTTTTCAACATATTTTATTCAGATTGAGTAACGTTATCTAATGATCATTAGGAACTCTAGATGATTATTATCGGACATATCATGATCATTACTGATGATAGATAATATTACTCATTTAAATATCATTACTCTCGATAATTTCTTATAACTGACCCAATAAAAATAAATTTTTAAAAAAAAAATTGCAATAGTACTTTAATATCCCATTAAGCACGACACTAATTAATTAATTCGCCAATGTTAGGTGGGTAAGTTAAATAAAAACCCATTGGGAAGGCCTGCTGAGTCATTTTTCTACTTATAATTTAGGCTTAAGTTTATCTAATTTCATTTTCTAGTCATTATTATAAACTAAAATTAAATATATGGATACTGAGATGCTTCCCCATCCATACAATTAATTATTAACTTTCGAACAGCCTCTCATGGAGTGGCCGAATTGATGGAATAGGTGAATGCGGAGGTTTTTGGTCTCTAGTTTAATTCCCGCTATCAACAATTTATTGGTCGAACATGTCGCACCAAATTTGCCTAACACGGTTTACTTGGTTGACATGATTTGCAGGCTATTGCGTTAGCCCGAGGGTTTACCCAATGCACACTAATAAGGTAGCGACTGCGTATTCCTCAGTCACAAAAAAAAAAAAGAAAAAAAAAGGATTTATTATCTTTCGCACGATCATATTGTAGCATAAGCTCATAATCAAATAAATAAATTCCTTAATTTTTCCCATAATCATCTTTTAGACCCTTAATTTGGCATATTGGTTTTGGGTTAGGACAATGAGATCGTGTTCTATGTTTTATTTTTCTGGACAAAATACTATTATGTTTTTTAGTTGTTTTCTTATTTCGTTTTCTTTTTGGGTGAGTACTTCATTTTATTTTTTCATTTTCTTATAACATGGAGAACATTTTAATTGGCGGGGTGGCCAGTTTAGTGGTATTCCAAGAAACACGTGTGAGTGATGCTATTCTTTATTAGTAGGAAAAAACTAAGATCTTTTTAAAATTATTGCAATAACACGGCAGCAGTTAACCCATAAAGGCTGAACGTACCACCGGTAAGAGTACAGGTCGAGGAGAATCAAAAAGTTGGAGGATTGGGAATTGAGGAGTAACTTTAGAAATAAAGGATACTGCTGTTTGTACAGTCCATGTAAGACCGCACAATTACAGCCATTTCTTGTGAGTGGGGTCCGTAATTATTTTAATCATGAACCCTACTCCTTGTGTGTGTGCATACTGTGAACTATGATGTGAACAATGTTGTATCCATAGTATGATTCAGAAATAAAATTATTTGTATAATTTTTGTTGACAACTTCGTTGACAATTCATGTATTGTCAAGATTTGTGTTGTTGATTTAAAAAATATATTTAAAATAAACGGTGTAAATTCCTACCAACTCATAGTTGTCAACAATCTTTCATAAAATAATATTACACGTAAATCGAAAACTTTTCATTCTTTTCAACCACTCATTTTTCAAAAAAAATTATTCCCCCCATTTTCATTTCTAAAAAATGGGGGCCAAACGATTAAAAGAAATCAATATTTTAAATACGGCCCTTGATTTTTTTTTTATCTATTTGTGTAAATTGCCCATATTAATAGAGATGATGACCGGTTTAGGTAGCAAGAAGTTCTTTCATTCATGACCGATGCATACAACTCCACTAGACAATGAATTAGTGTTTGATGCCAATTAAACTAGTGATATTTCTTCTAAAGCCGGATATTATTATACGGATAAAAAATGCTTCTTGTACACTAGAGTGTACACCCCTCTCACATAAGAGGAAACCCACATTGATTAAAAAATTCATGGATCCCCTCTCATGTGAGGGGGCTGTACACTAGAGTATAATACTCTAGTGTAAATGTAGCATCTTTCTATACGGATTGTATAGAACATTACTTGCACATGGGACTATTAAGCATGTTCTAACATGACAATTCGGGTTCAAATTTGTGAGCGAAATGTTCTAAACCTCTTTATACTGATTTGATCGAGTTCAATGAATTTTTCAACAACTCTCGAAGTATTAAAACTCAGTATTATTTTCCAATATTTAATTGACGTGCATTAAATAAGTAGGACTTACTCTCTAAACATAAATAAATAATGTACATACATGTTAAATAATGACAAAAATTAATAAATTTCCATATTTTATAAATACTACAATTTTCTTGAATCGACCCAAGCCTATTAATCCTCAAACTCCACTCCCTTTTCACCCCCCATGTCCCCAAACGCACATCATGGGGAAATCACCCTTTATATCGTGTAATAAAAACAGTCAACAAGGCTACATAAAATTCTACATATAAAGGGGCCCTTTAGATGTAACGTCTAAGCTCCCTCTGTTGATTACTCTTAATTTGAGCAAGTCAATTTTATGGTCTTCCTTTCCCGTGTTTGCCAAGGCAAAGACATTACTCCATCCCCTCCCACCCAACCTAAGCCACCTACCGGCCCCGCCCCGCCCCACGCCACCGCCTCTCACTTTCTTTCATTATTCTATTTCTATATATATACAAGTGTTCTCTATCTCTACCATCATTTCAAAGTAGTTTCTTTATTATATTTCTTAAACCTCTTTAATTTCTAATCAATTCCTCTTAGCCAATCTGAAATGGCACAGGTGAAATTTCCTTCTCTTTCTCTGCTTATATTTTTTTATTTGATTATTCTTGCTCTTGTTTTACACATACCAGTTATTATCTATGTGACGTATCTTGAAAATTTACATGTGCATATCTTTTCGATTATTCGACTTGCCGGTCGAGTGTCAATTTCATATTGATCTACGAGGCTCTGTGTTTAACTTCTTGATCACTCATTGCCCACAAACTTTCTTTAATTCATGTTACACACCCCATATTAGACAAAACTGAGCCATTTAAATTTTAATCCGGTCAAAATTTTCATAAAAACCAGAATCTGGGTTTTGAGCTTTTTCTTCTCTGATTATAAATTCTTCACATTTTGGTGGCCTTTTTTATTTCTTGCTGCAGAAACTAGTCATAAAAGTAGACGTACATGATGAGAAGGAGAAACGGAAGGCCATGAAAGCAGTTTCTCGCCTTGGAGGTCAGTAGTAAATACGAGAAAAAGTTAAAATTTTGTCCGTTATAGTGCCCATTCAATGTGTCAGTCGAATGATCATAATCGTCTCTGCTAATTTGTTCTCATATAGGGATCGAATCTCTGGCTATAGACATGAAGGAGAAGAAATTAACAGTAGTTGGAGGTGTTGATCCAGTTCATGTTGTGTGCAAATTGAGAAAATCATGGTACGCAGAAATTCTAACGGTTGGTCCAGCAAAAGAACCTGAAAAGAAAAAAGAAGAAGGAAAGAAGGATGATGCCAAGAAAGGTGATGATAAAAAGAAGGATGAAGAAAAACAAATTGCAGAACTTCTCAAGCTTTACAAGAATTACAATCCTTATTGCACACAGTACTACCATGTTTACAGTGCAGAGGAGGATCCAAATTCTTGTGTTATTATTTGATTATGTAATGTGGAATTGCAGAGGAGAAGAAGGAGAGACGATAGAAGAATTTTATCGTTGAATTTAGATGAATTTTCTGATTTTCAAGAACCCTATTTACATAAAAGATATAGTATTATAGAGAATGAATAAATCTTGGGTCTTTCTGAAAAAAATTTCTGTTCTATTTGGGAGAAAGTTGACAAATCGTTTATTATTCTAAATTAAATAATGTATTCTTCGCAGTGGTGGCAACGAGCTGCCTCACGAGCCTAAGCTAGAGGTTCAATTCGGATCTGCAAGAATTGAGACTCGGGCTTTTGGCTCGCGAGTAGACTCGAGCTCAGGTCGCCTTCCGAATGGATAGAGGACTTGGACTTTCTTTGTATAAATTAGAACTATTACATTGGTATAAATGAGACCAATTAAACCTTGACTAAGATGAAGATAGCTCATTATAGTGTCGTTTTCTAGTTTCAACCACAAAAAGTGCTACCATTCTGCTATTCTTCAAAACAAGTTGTCGGGTTACCTTTATATTCTACTCAATATTGACATATTGAACCCAACTTTTAATCCTACTCGATAACTTCTTGTTGGAGTTACCTTCGTTCTACCTTGACACTAGGGTTTATCGACTCGAATCAAGGACTTTATTCTTTTGAGAATAGAAGGGACAATTATAGAACTAGTACACCCTTCATTAGCTACCAATATTTTTTGGCTGACCAATTAGGTAGCTAATTTATTAATTATATCTCTCTTTATTAATTTTTTCTCCTTTTGATCCTTTATATATACTTTATTAAAATCCGAAGTCAATTCCTAGTACAGTTGATTTTCAATCTTTGAACAATTCAATGAATAAGTCCTCTATGCATGGGTTACCCTAGAATTTAATGGAGTCTAGAAATTTAGTAATGCATCGCTTTTAAGTTAACTCATTTTCCAGTACAATTGATTTTCAATCTTTGAACAATTCAATGAATAAGTCCTCTATGCATGGGTTACCCTAGAATTTAATGGAGTCTAGAAATTTAGTAATGCATCGCTTTTAAGTTAACTCATTTTCCAGTACAATTGATTTTCAATCTTTGAACAATTCAATGAATAAGTCCTCTAGCATGGGTTACCCTAGAGTTTAATTGAGTCTAGAAATTTAGTAATGCTTCGCTTTTAAGATAACTCAATTTGAATGCTTGACATGTTACAAGTCATATGGATGTACGAGTGACCGTCTCCTACTTTCAACACTCTTTGATTGGGCCACCCCTCGTCTTCTATCTTTCAGAGTTTAGTCAAGTCTAAAAATTTAGTAGTGTCTTGCTTTCATGTAATTCAATTTGAATGTTTGTCAATATTATACAAGTCATATTGACTCTCGTTTGGAGTTTTGACTTTAAAGGTGCGATGCGAAGTAATTAATTATATTAAAATTCTAATAATGTTTTCCATCAGCATTATTTCCACGACAATAGCAACGTAAAATTTGGTTTATTTGTTTTTAAGAGAATGTTCAACTTCTTGAGATACACTGGCCCCATTGTAATAAATCGAATATTAGGCCCTTTTTGGTAAATTGTAGATAATTTGGATGAGATTAGATATAAGGGCCTGTTTGGTACTGATTATAAGAATTGATTTTCTGATCATTAGTTTGAAACGTGGATTTCGCCTATGAGTGAAAAGGTCAAAAATCACTATTGACTATAGTAAATAACGATCAAAAAATTAATTTTTTAACTTGAAAAATCATAACCAAACGGGGCTAAATTAGCTTTTTGACGTTCACGATCGTGGATCCCATAGTCTAGAGAATTAATAATAGTATTTAATATCATCATAGACAGTGAGTCCTCTCATTCTTTTTCTGATGCCTTGAAAATTCTATTAGAGAAGTGGGCCACTCATATAGACAAATAATACACGGCATTACTCGTAGATATTTCATTCAATGTATGAAAATATGATTAGAGAAACGTGTGAAATGTTTACTTCTTATGTTATTCAATCATATCAAAGAATCCGTTTACGTTTCAAAAACGTTTAGCCAAGTTTGAGTTTACAACGTGAAACTCGAGTGAAATCTTAAAATTAAACTCTATAACACTTCATAACAGATAGGAATTATAGTACTTGATCATTTTAAGTAATCGAGTAATCTTGAATAAACTTTTTATGATTATTCTAAAATAAGCTAAACAATTTAAAGGCTTAATAGCTTAGTTGGACTTGAAAATTTATTCATTGAACAAGTTCATGTGCGAGTCACATTCTTTAAAACTCAATTTTTTCAAATTCATTTTCAATCATACATTCATTCAATAAAATTATTTTGTTCGTAGATCAAAAAGTTTTTTTTTTCTATTTTTAAAATCACATTTGAAAAATTACTTGTTACAAAACTAAAAAAAAAAAAAAACGATTGAAACAGGGACTGAAGTAAATAATTGGACTGGATTGGATTGATGGTACCAATGAAAATGATTGCCAGGTACCAAGTCTTTGGATTGAGAGGTGCTTCACGTACAGGTACAAGCGGTGCGTGGGGGGTTTTTTGTAGTTTTTTATATAGGTGGGTCCCATGGAGAGCCACTTGGTAGGGATGAAAAGAGAACCCCTCGTAACCCAACAATAGTCCTTTGGCTTTATATAGATTCTAGACGGAACCTTTGAAATATTCAGAAAAAAACTTTGAGGTAGGTGAAAAAGATTTTTGCTAGTGCGATGCTCAATATCAATCACATCGCTGTTATGTTTGATTGACAAAGAAATACAAGTCTTGGAGATGATATTCTATATAACAAGATTAATCTCATACTCATGGTGGACTTGATATATTTTGCCCACTAGTGATGTGGCAAGATATGATCTTGCCATCTTATCAGTGGCGTCTAAAATATTGGTGAGATGAAAAAAATCACATCTTGTAACCTCATCAATGGATAAGATATCTACTGCCCAGATCAATCATCTTCTATATAATGCACATGTAGGTCATTCTTTTCTATGCTGTTGATATATTTTCTATTTTAATTCAAATGATAGAAACTTCATTTAACTACGAGTGATATATATTAGACGTAGACCTATGTGAAGATAACTTCACTTTTGAAACACTTTAGTAGTGCTCTGACACGTAATCTTGAACCACATTATAGACAACGAAAAAAAAATTTGAATTTGTATATGTTTTTATGTTAGTTGTTATGCCTTATCCGACGAGACTCCAAATGTCAACTACGTGACAATTAGCTAGAAAATCAATTCAAATTTGCACTTCACATCACTATCCTATATGACATAACCAAGGGTATTGAACATGAGTAGTCGAAGTGATGCTCACCTTAGCCGAAGCATCATGTAGAGGCCTCCCCTCCTTAATCAAGATGAGGTGCCACGACTTGCAGCTGAGTAAATTTCGAGTGACTAGCCTTTCAATATGAGAAGTTATCTTCTTCCTTCGTCTCTTCCAAGATATCTTTCGTACAGGATCTTATATTAACTGACATATATGACATCTTTGAAGCAAGCGTCTTTCAATTAATTTATCATCTCACTTTTTAGATATTAGACCTAGACTATATGGTGGTTACTTTTCAGAATCATTTAATGCCCTTGAACCTAGGACTGCAAAAGTGGCACTTAAGAGGATATGCATCAATGTTGAAGATGAGATCACATGTTCTTTTATTCAATGATAATCACTTCACCGTTTTTACCATAAAAGTTCACATTTAGTGTTATTTGAAGATAATAAAATTATACACTCTCAATAATATTATTGCTCATTTTTGTTTTGTTTTCTATTTGCAACCCAAATCTTTAGGCCTAGACAAAACTCTCAAACTGAAACGGAACGAACTTGACCCGACCCGGCCCGAACCAAATCGAGCTATTTTTCTTAAGTTAAATACATGCACAAGCATATAACTCGATAGCTAACGAGGTCGGTTTGATTCTCGATTATAAATCTAGAATCGAAGAATTAAATAATAGTCGAATCTTCATAGTTTTTTAATTTATTTACTTTAAGTAAGCCAAATTATTCTTTTTTTCTAAATAAATTTGCTATCTAATTAATTTAGCTCAAACTTAAAAATATGATTTGCTTATTTTTAATTTTCAATTCAAGCCCAAATTAATCAAATTGACCTAAATTTTATCAAAATTCATTATTCTATCGTAGACTTGTTTCTACCGTTCTAAAGAATTCGAATTAAAGCTCAACTGCGCCTATCTTAATTATAGGGAGTTCGCTAAATTCTTCTTTCTGTGATTTTAACAATCAAATCTATAAGAAAAAAATCAGCAAAAAGAGATTAAAAAAAAAAGATACATAAGATTAGACTACACTATTTTGTAAGAGCAAAAGATTAAATATATCATTAGTTAAATTAATGAAACTTTGTATTGAATAGAACTGAATCGAATGGTTTCATAATTAAATTTGGACACGATAATTCCAATTACTAAGAGGGTGTTTGGTGAGAATTAAAATTAGATTTTTTAATAAATTGTAATAGAAGTTTTTGAAATGTGTGGTTATAAAATGGCAAAACCCATGAAAAATGTGGTTAATATTGATTGTTTGACTTTAATTTAGATTAAAATCATATTTAATTCAAACCAAACAGGCTCTAAGTACCAGAAAATTTCGAGTCTGGTTCGGTTCCAAATAACTGAATCGAACCTGATCATGTCTAGCTGTACAATTTCCGTACACATATTCGTGACTCACATCTTCCATACACACTAAAAAATGAATAAGGTGATTGGCTTAACCCTCAGAGTGCATGTGACCTCTTCCCTCATCATTGAAAAAAGTTATGTGCTTCTAATGGTTTGTCCAAATATATAAAAGCCTTACCTTAGGTTATGAATGGAACCAAAATCTACAGACCACGTCATTCACCGAAATCCAAGGTTAACATTAGGATTATTCTATAATGTGTCGTAATATACTAACATATTAAAGTTGGCTTGTAGTAGCGAATGCTTATACTAATTCATAATGTTAGACTTTAGGTATGACTCGAATTTTGTATTGAAAATAATTTAAATTTTTAATTGAAATGCACATTAAAAGGAACTCTTCGAAATGCTTTCAGAATCCTATTCAAAATTTATTTGATAAATTTTATTTGGAGTTCTATTGAGAGTTAGAATTTGTATTAGACTTGAAAAGATCAAGATAAGAAAATTTT